GGGGCGCTCGGGTTCGATGAATGCAACCTCTGGGTCCCCTCTCACCTTGTGTGAGTTTGAGGGTTGCGCTGTCCCCTTGTCTCAGGGTGAGTCTCATCGGTTTTGCCTCCGTCATGCTGCTTGTTGGGTCAGTGACGCCTATGACCCGGAGTCCTGCGAGTTTTGTTGCTTGTTGTGACTCAGTTCACCCAGTCCACTGATGACACTATGTGGGTGCAGGCAGTTCAGGCATTGCACTGTAGATTTAGGTTGTTTCAACGTAGTAGGTTGATTGCTGACCCGGAAGCCCGAGGCTGCCCCGGTTTGATTATAGGGACCTGGACTTGGGGGATGTTGGTCGCATCAGATTTGGTTCTGTCTGCACCCCCTCATCCTATTCCTGCTGTGGTTCATCCTGATATCCCCCCCACCTTCCCCCCTGCTTCCGGCTTTGAAGCATCTGAGGGCTTCGAGGTCGGAGCAGGGTTTAGCTGGTTTTGAGAGACTGGCTGTCTCGGGGGATGCCCCTTTCAGAGTGGCGATGGAGGCATTTGAGTCGGTTGCTGTGGCTTTGGGGTCTGACCAGTGGGCTACCTCTTCTGCCTTTTCGGTTGCCCCAGCTTTTTTTTTTTTCTGAGGCCGGGGCTTTAGAGGATGACTCGACCCCGGGTCCGGGTGTAGAGGCTCCCGGGGCGAAGGAGGGGATGGCTTGGGGGCCTTGGGCCCTCAGATCGAAGCTTATTGTTACAAGGAGTGGGGTTTTCTTTCCCCCCCCCCTTTTCCTCCTTCCTCCACGTATGAGTTGGAATTGGCATCAGCCCCTCCCCGGGTTTGGTTCTGTGTCCCTTTGGGTTTGTCGGTTCTGTCTTTCTGTAGGTTTCCCGGATCCCGCCTTCTGAGGTGTGGAAGGCCATTGCAGCTTACCTCTTGCGTGACCCGGATTACGCCTTTATTATGAATCAATCTTCTTTCAGGTTTGGGTCTTCGTCTCCTTACTAGGTTCGATATGAGGTTCCGGAGTCATCCTGGCTTGTGGACTGCCCGTTGTTTTCTTTGGCTGCTTGGCATGCCTTCTGTCGTACCCGCACACTTGAGTGGTGAGAGGCGCTGACGGTGGTCCAGGTTTTCTTGGGGGACGAATTTGAGCACCTCAATGGTGCTCAAATTGTTTGTTCGCCCTGGCCCTTCTTTCCCTTTCGGCTGCCTTGGTCACCTAGGACTTGCGTGCTCGTGTCCTATTGGCTTCGGTCTTGCGCTTCTTTTCCCACCTTGAGCTGTCATCAGATTGGCTTTGGGAGGATGTGGGGGCGCTTGGCATTGTTCCTGGGTCTGATTCCTTGGTGTTGGCGGCATGTGCGTCGTCTATGTTGGTGAAGCTTTTTGCGCCAATCCTGCGAGAAGCAGTTTCCCTGTTTTTCACTTCGCGTCTTGCATGTCAGCAGTTAGTGCTGGTTTCCTCTGTAGAATCCGCTTGGGCCCTAGCTCTTAGGATTTGGGGACGTCCCTTCCGCCTCTCTCGCGATTGCTGGGTTCGGCCCCCAGGGGCCTTGTGTCGGCTGCTGCGTCACTGGCTTCCGCTTTGGATTTTCAGGGTTCAGTGCCTTGGCGCCTACCCGAGCCCTCGCTCGATGTGTTCATGGACGCGTTGTCTCTTGGCTGGAGCCTTGTGACCAGTGCTCACCAGGCCGGCCAGGGGCAGTGGGGTCCGTCCTTCCATCGGGCGCACAGCACGGTACGGGAGTTCACGGTGGTGTGGTTTTCACTTCGGAGGGTTCGGGTCACCTGCGGATCGACGATCCGGCTCCATTCGGACTGCTCCCCAGTGGTTAATTGGCTGAACTGTGAGGGTTTAATGCAGTCCTTGGCTCTTTGAGGCTGGTCGCTTCAAGTGACTCGTCTGCTGAGTTCTCGGGGTTTGGCTCACCTGGCCGTTCACGTCCGGGGAGTGTCCAACATCCAGGCGGATGGCCTGTCCCGGTTCATTCCCCCTGTTCATGGAATGGACGGTCGACGCCAACTCATTCAGTTGGCTCTGCTAGACGTTCGAGCACCCGGAGGTGGACCTCTTCATGTCGACATGGTCGAGGCGTCTTCCGGTATAAGTGGCGCCCTTCCCCAACTGCGAGGCCGTCGGGATCGATGCCATCCGGCAGGACTGGTCGAGGTGTTGATTCCTATACCTCTTCCCTCTGGTTCAGCTATGGCTCCAGGTCCTAGCTCACTTGGAGAATTACCACGGGAGAGTAGTTGTCTTGGCCCCACCGTGACCGGTCTAGCCATGGCTTTAGGCGCTGCTTGCTCGGTGTTCGAACCCGGAGGTTTTCCCGTGGCTCCGCCTCTTTCAGCAGATCGGTCAGGTCCGTTACAAGACTGATTTGATCTTCTCCTTCTCCTAGAGTCTTTGCATCTGGTCTTTTTGACTCCAGTCTATCACCATCTGTATTGTAATCAGGTGACTTCTTTGCTGGTGTCCCACCTACAGGCTTTGTCTCAGCGACAGTATGAAGTTTCCTGGCGGTCCTTCCGTTGTCTCTTCATCGGTGTACTTTGCTTTCTGGTAAGGTTGTTTTGTCCTTTCTCTCGTGGTTGTTTCAGGACCATCATCTTATGCCGAATACTGTTGCCTTGTATCGTGCAACATTAGCGGAGTCGCTACAGCTTGCTTTCAGTATTGATGTTACTTCTGCACCATTTTGCAAGCTGTATTGGGCGTTGTTTCACCTCCGGCCTGCTCATGCACTTCCTGAGCCGTCCTGGTCTTTGGACAGAGTGGTCTGTTTTCTCTCTTCTCCTCAGTTTGTAGTAGCCCCTTTGGTTTCGGACAGTTTCTCAAATGCTCTCTTCCTGTTGGGTTTGGCCTCTTGGGGTCGGGTTGGGGAGCTTAATGCTCTTCTCCGGGTCAGGTATTTCTGCTCGTTTGGTTTTAGTGATAAGTTTGTTCATTTGCAGCTGTCTCCTTTTTTGGCGAAGAATGAGTTGGCTGCTTTCTGGAGGGGCCCCTTGGGGTGTTGATACTTGGTTGGTGAGACTAGGGGTGCATCATGTGTTGTGTCCAGCTCTGCCGTTATTTAAGCGCCACGGCTTCTGTGTCGGGAATGTGCTTTGGGTTGACCAGGTTTCCCTTCTTCCCTGTTCCAGGGCTCAGGTCTCTCAGGTACTTTGGTCTAGCCAGCCTGCGGTCTATCCTCGTGCTCACAACATTCATAATTTTGCTGCACTTGCTGCCGTCTTCAGTAACATGTCTTGGGCTGACATTCAGGCACCGGGTTTTTGGTGGTCGACCAGGGTCATGGCTGCGCGCAACCTGGTCAATGTTCCGGGGCCTAGTCGGGCCTGTTTCACTTTGGGTCAGTGGTTGCAGCCAATTGTCCTGACTTTGCACTGAGGAGCGGGTGCCTCCCGCCTCCCAGGTAAGTTCCTCTTGTTGTCGTTGTTTGGTAAGTAACTCCCGGGAGCCCTTCGGCTCCCCGGAGTTACTTACCAAAAAACTTACCGCCAGAAAACCATTTTCTGAGTGAGACCCAGAGGCTCCCCAGCAACTATCCCCCCCTTCCCCTGGTCGGTGGTTTTTCGCGTGTTTTGACATCCTACCTCGAACTTGGGTGTGAATAGCCGGTGTGAGGGGTCTGGGGCTTCCCCTTCCCTCTCCCGGGAAGGAGGGAGCTGTGCAGACAAGCAGCACAGCACGTGTGATGTCATGCTCGTTTGCTTGTTTTCATTTGGGGAATTCTGTCCACACGTTTAACTTTCAGTAGTAGTGTTAACCAGAATAGGGGTTTGTTTTGGGGCGCTTACCTTTCTGGGTGCCTGGCCCAGTCGATGGCAGACATAGAATGCTTCAAATCACGTGCAATTCTATAGGCCATTGCTCCTCGTGCCTCTCTGAGGGGGGCCAGGTTCTGGCTCGTGGTCCCCAGTAGGCCTATGAACTCCATTCACACTGATGCCAAAGTCAAATAGTATCCATATCAGCCTGGATAGCTCCGAGGAGCCTCCAGGTCTCACCCAGAAAATGACGTTTCATTACATTCAACTTTTTTTTTTTACACCATGGGGATTTCAGCATTTAAGAGTTGTGGTGTTGAAGGGTTATGAGAAGTGTATAATGTTAATGATGCTAATCATACTATTGTTTGTAACTAATTTGGAAGACATTTCATGAAACATTTTATAAGCTACATGTCATTTTCACCTTTACCTGTTTGAAATATAAAAATAGATTTACCGTAATCAATTTCTTTGTTTTTTTTATACTTTATTTCATTACTTCTTCATAAAATGTTAGAGAGTAAACCTTAAAATCTATTTTACAAGAACAAAATATCAATATCTTTACATCAGAACATGCTTGAGGACCACCATATTTAGTTACGAGTTGACGGGGACAGAAAGCTGGCCGCTTGTCAAAGGATTTCCTTTGCACACACTGGTGCAGCATATCATTATTAACACTAATTGCCCATCTACCATCATAATCCTTTTATCAGTTAGAAGTATTGGTGATTAACCTTAACCACAGAACTGAGCACCTGGTTTTGGCAAAAACTTCGTAGTGCAGTTGTGAAGGACATACTTTTGTTTTATAAATGTTCATATAAAGTTAATGTCAAAATGTTTCCAAACTCAACCATTTTTATTTCAAAACACAAAATGATGAAAACATTAAAAAATATAGCACAACTTGCAGAGCGCCTCAAGGCACTCTGCGCAGCACGTTGGTTAAACTGATAAGCTGTTTAAAAGTCCCACATACAGGTGAGCATTAGAAAAAGTATTGAAACCCCTTAAGGATCAATTGCACATAGCAGTTGGAGCATGGGAAGAAATCACAGATAGCAATTGCATCAGTTTAGGGGTTAATGTTATAATTTATATTTTTTCAATACTGTAATTGCTTTTTTGTCAGTATACCTACATAGATTGTCAGTTAGAATTCACATCGATTGAAGCCTTGTGCTTCTTAACTACATTTTGTTAGTGAGATCGAAGACTAATTTGGTTTCCCTTTCCCCCCCTCCAAGGCTGAACGTAGTCGTCACACGTACGAGGCTGCAACACGGCAGCTAGTGGACTTCCTGCACACAGTGAATTCTACCTTGAATATGACTTCTAACCATAGTACAAGTTCAAGCCCAACTGCTACAAGCCCCAGTAACAACTTGTACTCAGTCAACAGCCCTGCAGCCAGTCTGCCTACAGTTGCACCAACAACTGTGCCTCCATATAGGTTGGCTGGCTCAAAAACTCCATCGCCAGACTTGATACCAAGTTCTTCTTCTCACACGTTTGGACCAGTTAGAAGAAACTCTGATGCTGTTCGAAAATCAGGAAGTGTGTGGGCACTTCCAACCCAGTCAGGAAACCCTCGAAGGTAGGGGTGTGTGTGTACGTAATGTTTTTCCCAGTTTGATTTTAATTGGGTTCTTTCTTTTTTTTTAAGTATGGTACACATTGATAATGTTATATCTGTGTATTATTTAATTAATTTTGTATTGATTCATTCATTATTTTAAGAATATTATATAAATTTATAATTTATATGATTGATGTAGAAATTACTTGATATTTTGTGTGTAAATTGTTAGTCTAATGTATGGAGATTGAAACACTGATTAGTGCCTCTAGTTAGGTAATTTTAGCTATACATAAATAAAGGTTTAAATCTGCATATTAAGTAAAAGGTAGTAGTCCATTGCTTGATGGTCAGTACAAACAGTCCAATCGGAATGTTTCAATTCCCTTGGCACTACAGAGACGTTTGAGTAAGTTTCCCTTCACCTGATACCTCTGTTTACCTAGCAGTAAATAGGTATCTGGGAGGTAAGTAACTGTTGTGGGGTAGTCAAGGGGCCTGACAGCTGAGTGGACAGTGCTTCGGATTCGTAGTCCTGAGATTCAAGGCTCGTGTTTAATTGCTGTACAGTAGTTCACTTGACAACTTATAATTGTTGGACTTAAATAGGCATAGAAATAAAGATAGAAATGGATGATGATATATTTCAGTTACAATCATGTATTGTAAATAACTTTTAAGAATAACAGGTGTTCCAACCTGGTGGCACATTTCTAACTGTAAACATTCGGGCATCTCGGGGACCCAGTCACCGACACTAAACATTTTTAATCTTTCTTAATGATTTCTCAGTTTTTGGATTATTAGTATAAATTTGGTGTCAACTTTTAGCAAGTAAATTTGCTAAAGTATAATCTCAAAATATGATATTATTTAGAGCCTAGTGGACCAAACTCTCACAAGTCAAGCCTGGCCTCGGGCCGGGCTTGGGGAGTAGAAGAACTCCCAGAACCCCATCAACCAGGTAACCAGGTATTTGAGGATAGAATTTCCACAGCAGTAGTGAATATACAATTTTTTCTGAGGAGAGCCCCGTTGGTTTCCCGGAGCTATCCAGGCTGATATGGATATGTATAATTTTCTGGCATCAGTCAGTGTGCATGGAGTTCTTGCCTACTGGGGACCACGAGTCAGAACCTGGCCCCCTCAGAGAGGCTTGAGGAGCAATGGCCTATAGAAACCCCTGTGTCTTCAGGAGCATTCTATGTACACATGGAAATATACAATGTATATATCTATGTTCAATATACACATGGAAAATACTGGAGGGCCATGTTCCAAATCTACACAGTAAAATAGCAATGTACTGGAGTGAACGATATGGAAGAAAATGCAGAATAGAACCAGTGAAGAGCAGAGGTGCCATAGGCACCATCAGAGAACACTGTATAAACATCAGAGGTCCACAGTTGTTCAACGTCCTCCCAGCGACTATAAGAAATATAGCCAGAACAACCGTGGACACTTTCAAGAGAAAACTAGACTGTTTTCTAAAAAAAGTGCCAGACCAACCAGGCTGTGGTGGGTATGTGGGCTTGCGGGTCGCTCCAAGCAACAGTCTGGTGGACCAAACTCTCACAAGTCAAGCCTGGCCTCGGGCCGGGCTTGGGGAGTAGAACTCCCAGAACCCCATCAAGCAGGTATGTCTGCCAGCGACCGGGTCTGGCACCCAGAAAGGTAGGCGCCCCGAAACAAACCCCCTATTCTGGTAAAAAATTGCTACCGAAAGCCGAACGAGTGGACAGAACTTCCCAAACGAAATATAGCAAACGAGCATGACATCACGCTGCTGTGCCTCTGTCGGTGCAACCCCCATCCCCTCCCCGGGAAATGGAAGGAGGAGCCCCAGACCCACTCGCCAGCAATCCACCCACCAGTTCTTGGCTGATGTGAAACTGGCAGGCCATGTGCCTCTAGCTCCTACTCTGGTTTCAGCTTCTGTGCCTTGTAGCGTGGTCTGTGTCTATGGGTGGTGTGTGAGCCAGGAGTAATATTCTACGGTACTTGGGCTGCATGCGCCTAGGGTTTCCTTATCTAGGTGCCCTGTAAGTACTGCCCTTGGGAACTGCCAGAAAGAGATCCAACGTAGAAAGAGAACGTAGACGACACTATAAACGCAGGAAAAAAATAACGGAACTGCTTATGCAGATACGAATTTCCCGTCAAAGAATGAATAATTTAAATAGGGAGATTGAAGAAATCGAGCGGAAATTGAAACACTCATATGAAACTGAAGAAAGGCAGTTAGAACAGAAAGTAATTCAGGAAATAAAGAAAAATCCAAAATATTTCTTCACATATGCGAAATCAAAAGCAAAAACCACTGCCAGTATTGGACCTATTCGTACAAGTGAAGGTTCATACACGGAGGATGACAAAGAAATTAGTGAAATCCTAAAAAAGCCATATGAGGACATATTTAGCACTCCAATAAACAACACGAAAGTGGAAGATCCAGACAGTTACTTTATGCGGGATATTCAAACCCCTGTAAATATAACTGATATCAACACGAGCGCACTAAATTTTGAAAGAGAAATTGAAAACATGCCCATGCACTCGGCTCCAGGTCCAGACTCATGGAATTCAATATTTATAAAGAAATGCAAAGTGCCAGTAGCACAGGCACTCAGTATAGTGTGGAGGAAGAGCTTGGACACGGGGGAGATACCAGATGCACTTAAAGTAGCAGACATAGCGCCTCTACACAAGGGAGGGAGCAAAGCATTGGCAAAGAATTATAGACCAGTTGCACTAACATCGCACATCATAAAGGTATTTGAGAGAGTGATTAGGAGTCAGGTCACCAATTTCATGGAGACCAATGACCTTCACAACCCAGGCCAACATGGATTACGAGCGGGAAGATCATGCCTCTCACAGCTACTTGAGCACTACGGAACTCAGAGAAGACAAAACAAAACATAGAAGCGGAACTAGGAAACAGGATTGGTTCAACAGAGAGTGCAAGAGGGCCAGAGACAAAAAGACACAAAAATGGAATCAATACAGGAAGAGGCCGAACCCCCAAACATACCAGTGATACAAAGATGCGAGAAACAACTACACGGCAGTGAGGAGAGAGGCAGAAAGACATTTTGAAAAAGGGATTGCAGACAAATGCAAAACAGAACCAGGTCTGTTCTATACAGTAAATTCATAAACAACAAATTGCAGGTAAAGGATAATATTCAGAGGTTGAAAATGGGAAATAGATTCACGGAAAATGAAAAGGAAATGTGTGAAACATTAAACGAAAAGTTCCAAAGTGTGTTTGTACAAAATGAAATCTTCAGGGAACCAGATACAATAAGAATTCCAGAGAACAACATAGAGCACATAGAGGTGTCCAGAGACGAAGTGGAAAAAATGCTCAAGGAGCTAAATAAGAACAAAGCAGTTGGTCCAGATGGAGTTTCACCATGGGTTCTGAGAGAATGTGCACCTGAGCTCAGCATTCCTCTTCAACTGATTTTTCAGGCATCCCTGTATACAGGAGTTGTAGCTGATGTGTGGAAAAAGGCTAACATAGTTCCAATCTACAAAAGTGGAAGCAGGGAAGACCCCCTTAATTATAGACCGGTATCATTGACAAGTGTAATAGTCAAAATATTGGAAAAAATAATTAAATCTAAATGGGTAGAACACCTGGAGAGAAATGATATAATATCAGACAGACAGTATGGTTTTCGATCTGGAAGATCCTGTGTATCGAATTTACTCAGTTTCTATGATCGAGCAACAGAGATATTACAGGAAAGAGATGGTTGGGTTGACTGCATCTATCTGGACCTAAAAAAGGCTTTCGACAGAGTTCCACATAAGAGGTTGTTCTGGAAACTGGAAAATATTGGAGGAGTGACAGGTACGCTTCTAACATGGATGAAAAATTTGTGACTGATAGGAAAATGAGGGCTGTGATCAGAGGCAATGTATCGAACTGGAGAAATGTCACAAGTGGAGTACCACAGGGTTCAGTTCTTGCACCAGTGATGTTTATTGTCTACATAAATGATCTACCAGTTGGTATACAGAATTATATGAACATGTTTGCTGATGATGCTAAGATAATAGGAAGGATAAGAAACTTAGATGATTGTCATGCCCTTCAAGAAGACCTGGACAAAATAAGTACATGGAGTGCCACTTGGCAAATGGAATTTAATGTTAATAAATGCAATGTTATGGAATGTGGAATAGGAGAACATAGACCCCACACAACCTATATATTATGTGAGAAATCTTTAAAGAATTCTGATAAAGAAAGAGATCTAGGGGTGGTTCTAGATAGAAAACTATCACCTGAGGACCACATAAAGAATATTGTGCGAGGAGCCTTTGCCACGCTTTCTAACTTCAAAATTGCTTTTAAATACATGGATGGCGATATACTAAACAAATTGTTCACGACTTTTGTTAGGCCAAAGCTAGAATATGCAGCAGTTGTGTGGTGCCCATATCTTAAGAAGCACATCAACAAACTGGAAAAGGTGCAAAGACATGCTACTAAGTGGCTCCCAGAACTGAAGGGCAAGAGCTACGAGGAGAGGTTAGAGGCATTAAATATGCCAAAACTAGAAGACAGAAGAAAAAGAGGTGATATGATCTCTACATACAAAATAGTAACAGGAATTGATAAAATCGATAGGGAAGATTTCTTGAGACCTGGAATGTTAAGAACAAGAGGTCATAGATATAAACTAGCTAAACACAGATGCCGAAGAAATATAAGAAAATTCACTTTCGCAAACAGAGTGGTAGACGGTTGGAACAAGTTAGGGGAGAAGGTGGTGGAGGCCAAGACCGTCAGTAGTTTCAAAGCGTTATATGACAAAGAGTGCTGGGAAGACGGGACACCACGAGCGTAGCTCTCATCCTGTAACTACACTTAGGTAATAACACTTGGGTAATAACTACGACAAAGTCACTGAGGCATTAGAAGAAAAGCAGAATGCTGATGTGATATACACGGACTTCGCAAAGGCTTTCGATAAATGTGACCATGGCGTGATAGCACA